AAAATAATGCTACAGGGAATGTAATCTTGGCTTGCTAACTTTTTCTTAATTGAGTATGTGAATATGAATACCTAATAATGCAGTTCTAGTAAATAATAGGTTGCGACATTGGTGAATTTAATAGGTCAAAACAGTGCACATTCTAAGGGCATATAATTCTTGTTTTATAATTATTAACATTATTTTATACTAAGATCAAAACCAAGATAATGTGCTTTGATCTTTGAAATTGGTTTTAAGATTCCACTGTTAAATTAGAAGATGCTTATAGGAAATGTTACCCAAATTATTTTTTTATGAGAAAATAAACAGAAGCAATCATGCAGATTTGGAGTCTGGAAACTCCTTTGCCTTAGACTTGTGACCCAAAACTTAATGATAAAATGGAGAAGATAGAATGAAGTATGCCAAGAAAGCCTAAACAAGGCAGATAAAAGTTCCCATATAGGTTGCTTATCAGCATGCCTTATTTAGTGATAAAAAGCTTTTTTCTTAATACCTTCAGAGCATTTAGTTTTTGCTAACTGAATACTTCCTTTCTGTTGGTCATTGATATAAAACAATATAATTAGTTATTCATTTCCTTTAATGTGGAACTTAGGGGAAGCTGTAAAAATAAAAACATGGGTTTCTATGGTATGTAAAATACAGTTTTAAAAAAATTCTGGAGCCTCAATGACTGCATTTGGTTTTGGTTATTTTTACCATATAATCACAATATATATGTGATATATATATGATATATATATAAATATATATATGATATATATGTTTTCTTGTGTGTAATTACGCACAGAGTAATTTCTCATTACAGAACACTACTTTGGAATGAGTGATGATGGAAGGTTAGCTAGAACAAGTGATGTCAGAATTTTAGAATAATTTTAAAGAGATGAATTTACTACTTACAACTACATTTATAATAAATTAGTTGTGTTTGTGTTGTTTTCGCTAATAAATTGTGTGCTCATGAAGACAGGTAATCCAGTACATAGCATATATTTAGAATAGGGGAAATAAATGTTTGATTGAATAAATGAATAATGAATTATCTATTGACTAAAAAATTATTCCCTTCAACAAATACATAAAAACAGTTTTTAAAAGGCACATCATTAAAGTATCTCCTTTACAACTTTACCTTTGCATATTGCATTACACTTTTCAAAATAAGTTCACACATCTCCCTGTGTTTAATCTTCATAATGAAACCTGGTCGAAAAGGCCTTACTATTTTTATTTTGCAAATAAGGAAACTGAAACACTGAGAGGCATAGTGACTTGTTGATGATAACAAACCAGTTATGTCACAGCTAGATTCCATGTCTTTTAACTTATTTTTCCATGACATCTTTTCTTTCATAAACACTCTTTAATTACTAGATTTAAGCCTGTCACATAACTCTCTTGTTTTGGTTCTACTGTCTATTGCTTTTATATAATATTTTCTCAACCATTTTATTTATTCTTACTTTCTATTCTAAATTCCTGTATACACTTTTAATTATAAATTAAACAAATTAGAATGGAATAATTTCCTGTGATCTCTCTGCTGTTGTATCACAAAAGTATATTACTGAGATGAATTTAAGAAGATGGAAGTTTCCACTTGAGGCAATATGGTGGACTAGATGTCCTGGCACAAAATGAATGGGCTATGCTGTGGCAGGCAGGAGATAAAGCCTAGGGCCCAAGCTGGGAGTGTGTGTGTGTGTGTGTGTGTGTGTGTGTGTGTGTGTGTGTGTGTGAAGTCCCAGACTTCTGCACAAAGCCAAGAACTTGCAAAGGCAACATCCTTAGTAGGTGAACTAGAAAGAAATCTTGCTCCACAGAGCAAGATTCGGTATACTTGCCTGTCTCAGCGATGGCTCTGGGTGAAGGAGGAAAAACCTAGAAAGTCTCTCCTGTCTATTCTTAATCATAGGATTGCATTGTAGCTGATTTAGGGCTAGAACCCACACTACCTATGTAGCTCCTATCCCCATCCCCCATCCCCTCTCAAAATACTCAAGCTGAAAATTGAAAGTGATCTGAATTTGATAGCAACATCAGCAGTCAGACAAAAGCAAACACAAATTCTTTCTGGAGGAATGAACTTTAAACTCAGGTCTTAAAAATTTCCAGAGGGCCGGCCTGGTGGTGTAGCGGTTAAGTGTGTGTGCTCCACTGTGGTGGCCCGGGGTTTGCAGGTTCAGATCCCGGGTGCACACCGACGTACTGCTTGTCAAGCTATGCTGTGGTGGTGTCCCATATAAGGTGGAGGAAGATGGGCACGGATGTTAGCCCAGGGCCAGTCTTCCTCAGCAAAAAAAGGAGGATTGGCGACAGATGTTAGCTCAGGGCTAATCTTCCTCACACAGACACACACAAAAAATTTCCAGAGATAAAATTCCAAGGAACATGGGCTTAGTAAATAAGCCATCTTGAGTAAGAGTTAAAAGAAAAACAAACTACAAAATCAGACCCACAAAATACTGATGATTTGCAAATATCAGATACAGAATATAAAATAGGTTTCTTAGTATATTTAAAGGAAGGAAAGAGGATATTGAATGTATGAAAAAAGAAAAAGATATTATCAAAAATCACCAGGCAGATATGAAGAACAGAAGACAATTCTCAAACTGAAAACATAATCATTGAATTTAGCAAACTCAGTGGAATTGAAAAGCTGAAAGGTGACAAATTGGCAGCTGGCACTCTGACTCAAAATTAACCCTGGAGACCCCACAGAAGAGAGAGGGTCTTAAGGATCTGAGGATGGAACAGAACAAATCTAAAACATCTCAGAGAATGAAGGCTGTCATGGACTAAATGTCTGTGTGTGTGTTGGGGGACGGGCGGTGAGGACAGGGTTTGCAGCAGCCCAGGGTGAGGGTGGCTGGGAACAGCAGTGGGATGATGGGTGGGGGCAGGGTTTTTAGGTTCTGCTTTGGCATCTCCCCCAAATTAACTGTCCCACAGACATAGTTTCCATCACTGGGTGAATAGATCCTTAAAATATGGTGGCTTCACATTATGGAATACAATGCAGCACTTAGAAGCAATAGATTAGATATATAAAGCAATGTGGATATATTTTTAAAAACATACAGCTTAGCAAGAAAATTGAGAAGAATATGATTTATAGAAAATACATTTATGTAAATTAAAAACATATGCACCCAAGATAATATGTTTTATAAAAACACACAGGGGGCCGGTCTGGTGGCACAAGTGGTTAAGTGTGCGCGCTCCACGACGCACTGCTTGGCAAGCCATGCTGTGGCGGTGTCCCATATAAAGTGGAGGAAGATCGGCACGGATGTTAGCCCAGGGCCAGTCTTCCTCGGCAAAAAAAAGAGGAGGATTGGCAGATGTTAGCACAGGGCTGATCTCCTCATGAGGAAAAAAAAAAAACACACAAATAAAAAGATGCAAATCAAACACATTAGAATGTTTGCCTATGATGGGGAAGGTTATGATGGTTGGAATTAGGGCTAAAATAGAATAAGTAAACAAAATCAGAGGGGTCTTGCTTGGACCAATTATAATTGTGTACCATGAACTAAGGTGTATAAAAGAAGGAAGAAATAATCTCAATGGATGAGTTAAAGAGCAGATTAGATACACTGTATGGAGAATAAACTGGAAGAGAGATCTAAAGAAATAACCTAGAACATAAATTAGAGAGAAAATATGAGGAGAAAAGATCAGACAGCATGGAGTATAGAGTGAGAAGGTCTAATATAGAGCCTCAGAGAGGTACTACTCAGAGATATTGGCTGAGAATATTCTGTACTTGATGAAAGACACACATTCTCAGACCCAAGAAGCACCATGATGTGCAAGCAGGATAAACAGAAAGAAAGTAAGAACATCAAAGACAAAGAGAACACGTTAAAGCCATCAGAGAAAAGAGGCAGACTACCCACTGAATATTTAAACGGACCAAAGGCTAACCTCCTGACAACAACAATGGAATCCTTAAGAACATGCAATATCGTCAAAGTCCTGTGAGGAAATAACTGTCAACCCAGACTTGTGCGCCTACTGAAATCATCTTTCAAGAACGAGGGCAAAAATGAAAACACCTTCAATAAAGCAAAACCAGAGTTTAGACCAGTAGATCATCACTAAGGAACATTTAGAGCATGAACTTCGGGAAGGAGAAAATAAATGCTAGAAAATCTATTGACTTATTAAGTATGGTAAGTATTTTATAATGTTATTTTTAAAATCAATTTCCTTTTTAAAAACAATAGCACGTTTCTGAAATATCAGAAGTTCCAACTACAGCAGCATGAATTAACTGGGTCTTATTACCTACTTTGCCTGTTTATATACAGCAGCATCATTTACGTCGGATGCCAGACAATCATTTGGTGATCTGATATTAGAAATCTTTGAATCATCGACACAATGCTGCATTACGGCATGTGAAATTATACTGCGTTACATAATGTTGTAGTTCAAAATAATACAAATAAACTCCAAGTCCAAAAGGGCCAATGTCGATAATAAATACTGCTATCTAGTTTCTCTACTAGCATAACCTTTATCGTTTATACTAAAGCCAAATGCTACAATCAATCCTGTAATGATTTCAACATTTCCTCCTACAATAAACCTAATACTAATGTCTAGGGCAATTGCTGAACATATAATAGGTTTTGTGTGTTCCTATACAATAAATCTTATCAGTATCTAACTTGAACAGGAGTGTTCTTATATAACAAGAAATTTTGTTCTATTGAGCCATAGTATACAAAGTAATAAAGAGCATTTATGGATGGTTAAATATTGAAGTGAAGCTAAAGCATTTAATCTACTGCAAAACTCATTTAATGCAAACGTACCCTGGCGACATAGATATTATCGACATTATACTTGAAGGGAACATTTTCATCCAGTACATCTCATGGAAATTTAATTTCCTTCCTCTCTGAAAACTTGGAATTTGTTAGACTGTGTCCATTTCCAGCACAAATATCCAGTAGTACATAAAGTGTATCTTTACATATTAGAGAAGAATTCGAGTGACAAATCCCACGGTGCCAAATCTATCGATGTGAAGGCACATTTACCATGACAGCTGGAAATCACAATACGCAGAAACTTAAAAAGGCTATTTTAAGTTTATCATCATGTTGATTTCGGTGTCCATTTTCATGCCACCATCCTGTTTCATTTTATGATGGGTTTTGTGCCCAAGTACAAACTAGATTGATCTCAGATCAAATAGAAATTGGCACCTTTTAAACAAACAAACAAAGCAATTGCATTTGCAGAAATTAAAACCACATAGATGAGCTGAGGACATTTAGGTTAGTTTTGATAGATTTCTTTTCTTTCCTTTTAGCTTCCTTAAGTTTTTACTTTGTACCTAAATAAAACATCAGAATCTGGATGCTGAATACCAAACAAAAGGCGCCTGCAGTTTAGTTCTATAGGTTTATGGTCAATTATTTCTAAATCAAAATAAGTTAAAAGCACAACCAACAATTGCTTTATTTCCATAATTGCCAAAAATCGGCCTGGACACTTGCTGTTTCCAAATCCAAACGGCATCAGGTAATACTTCAGCTTTTTCCCTCTTTTGAAAAAGATAGTTTTCTTCTTACCATCTTCTACAAAACGATCAAATTTAAACTCCTGTAAAGAAGAAGAAAGAGTGTTAAAATTAAAAATTTACATGAAATAGTTTGAGTTCAGGTCCACAAAGTTGCCAGCTCTCCTTGCCTGTCTTAAAAGGCTCCTTTTAATCCAGCAAACAGCAGAAAGTAAAACTTGACTAAGTGCAAATCATGTATGAACTTTCAAAAAAGTCAAATGCTACTGGGAAATTACTTCTCCCACGTCAAAGTGAAATCCAAACACCTATATGACTTTTCTTCCCAATTCACATTTCTCTCCTACGCTGTTTCTTAAGTAGAGAGGCAGTATCTCTATTTTTGCTACTGGCGTTTGATATATCAATGTTGGGCAGAAGGTAAGGGCTCCTGCAATGCCACCATTGTTACTACGGAATAATGAAGCCTATAGGCTACAGAGGCTGCCTAACTGAGGATCCCTAATAATGTGCTTTTCTCTATCCCTTCCCAGATAGCTACTGATGCATGCGAACTATAAGTTTAGGATTCAGTGTTTATATTTGGATTACATAGATATAAAATAATAACATTGACATAAAGCACTAGAGACGAACTAAGCCACAAAATTGGTCTTGCTTGTTTTTTGATGTTGTACTGAATTTCTCCTATGACAGTTCTATTAGAACGAACTCTCTTTGGGGTAACTCTAGGGTGGCAAGCGTTTCCGATATGTTTTCATAAATAAGTTATATTATTTGTTACAGAAAATGATGGGACTGGTTTATCTAGGGTGTTTGGTCTGCCATCTTAATTTACTCTCACTTGAGTTTCCGAGAGGAGGCTGAGTGACCTTATTTCAGCCCATGGTGAATTAAATCGTTGATTAAATTAGTGCACATGGCATGCATGAAAACGACCAAGTAGTTTCTGGACTTGGTGCTCATTAGCATTAGACCTGCTCAGCACACAACTTTGATAAACTACATGAAGTCAAAGTCAAAGAGGCAGGTCAGATCGAAAGCATTTCAGGTTATAGTGAAAACCCTACAATATGTGGATAGATTCTAAATCCACCACAAATGATCTAATTTTCTCAATGCCAGTACTAATGTCAGCAAAATCATTTCCTTTTAAAGTATTGGGTTTATCTTCATTTATCTATGATACATATTTTGATAAATATTCAAGCTTAGAAAACACACTTTGGGTAGTTTCTATTGTCCCTTCCAACTTGCAAGCTGAAATCATAGTGGCAAAATTAATCTGCATTAGAACACAAGTGTATTCTCCCACAGAGAGTTCTAGGATATACCTGAAGAGGTTCTAACCAGTGCTCAACTAAAAATATCTGTTCATCCCTCTAGTAATGGATGAGGACACTCTTTGTTGACATACTCTTTGTTACAGCAGATAGAGTTAGGATATGGCACTCTCTCCTGGGGTTCTTTTTCTATTTTGGGGGCCCAGGCCCGCTTGCTCGAGTTCAGTATTGCTGCCTCCTCCTTCTCACTGACCAATTTGAGGAGACCTGGACTCTCCCCAAGAGCTCCTTGCCTAGGCCAAATCAGTTTAAGTCAACTTTGCCATGAAATGATTTGTTAGGAAAGGTCTCACTGTAGCCCCACTGTTTAAGCCAGAAAATGCAAAAGAAAAACTTAGCTTGGGCTATGACTTCATAGTGTCCTGATATCATAAATAAGTCAGGAACTGGCACGGCTTTCCTGTTCTTCTTTGTGAAAGTGAATGTGCTGCTCTCTGAGAGGCCATAGTGATAAACACATCATGCCCAAGTGCTCTCCCATCACTGTAACCTTCACTTGGTGTTGACATTCCCTCAAATTTCTAGTCAATCTGTAACGCCCCTCCTCTAGTTTTCCATCAGCTTCTATTCAATTTCCTCATAATAAACATCTTAGAAATTCTTAGTTAGCTGTTTACATTATGAAACAAGAAGGGAAAAGCCCAACTTCTTTTGCTCTTTGATGACCACGAAGCTCAAAGGGCATAAATACATTTTTGAATTAACATTTCTTTTCAGTTTGTTTTCCATTGCCAGGGCATGGAGAACCCGAGCAGGAACCAATATTAGGAAGGGCTTGTGGCAGCTGCTAGGGATATAGTCTGGTTTTAGCCAAAAAGAGAAGGGGTATAATAGTCTCATCCCTGAGATTTTGGGGTCATGGTGACATAGAACAAAGGGTTAGGAAGCTCAAGATGCATACACTCATGTGAAACAACTTAAATACGGGATTTGTCATGTTGACCTAAACTCTTTGCAGTAATCATAATACCTTGGTGCTTCACAATTAAAGAGCATCAATTAAATGCAATATTATTAAATATATGAGAATAGAGAAATCATAAGAGAAATCGTAAAACACTGGAACTCCCCATAGCTCCTCTAAGGATTGTTGTGTTGATTCCTCAACATCTTTCCCCTGCATAGGATTTGTCTAGGGACCAATCATGGTAATCACATTGCTCTGGCCTCCGACTGATTTAGGATAGGAGGTGTGAACCAATCTCATCAGTGCTACCGGGGGAAAGTCTATGGGGACATCTGAGAGAAGTCTCCTTCTTGTGGAGAAAGAAAAACAAAAAGAAATGGTTCATTACTCTTCCTTGTCTGGACTTAGTCATATGTGACTGTGATGTCTGCCACTGCTGTAGCCACCCTGCCATCAGGCTGAAGACAGAGCAAATCCACAGGAGAGGGCAGAGCCAAGACATCCCAGGAGCCTGGACTTGTCACACTGTCTTACTCATCTTTGTATTTTCAAAGCCCCCAACACAGTGCTATGCACATAGCAGAGGTTCCATATATGTTTGTTGAATTAATGAATAAATACTTGACAATAAAGTATATTTTAAAAGCAATATTCAAGCTTTCAAAGAAAACATGAGTATTGGATGACTAAATAAAGATGTAAAGAATGAAGAATAGATGAATATTGAGTGTTTATAAATAGAAAATGATATAATAGCACTAGAAATCAAGATAGACAATACAATTTTCTGGATAGAGAAGAATTTTTGGTATAAGTGACCGAGGAACATTGTATAACACCCTAATTTGTGTCCTCCAAATACTATATTTAGTTCAGTTCAACAGATTGTTTTTAGCCCTTCCTGTATGTGAAGCATTGAAGTTAAAACATGGTCTTGCTGAGTAGGTGACATACATTATGACCAGGTCTTGTATTCACTCCATTCATCATTTTGGGTATAGGAATCTAGATTAGACAAAAGATATGACTTCCTAGAAATAAAAACTGTCCATGTTTTGAATGGATGACTAAGGGGCTGCACTGTTGCCCCTGGTTTACAGTCAGTCCTCCTGGGAACAAGAGGACAGAGTACAGAAGTTCCTTTTTATATCCATGACATGAGTTGCAACCAGAGGTGTGCTGTAGCCAGTTTGTACCAGCTGGAGAGAGTGTGCACACTTCTTCCCAACTCCTCTGTGAGGGTCTTCATGTTGGTAAGATGAAATCAGCCAAGGTGGGAGTATTTACACTATGAAAATTGACAAAAATCAGGGCTTTTCAGAGTGCTGGTTTACCAACACTCTGCTGGTTCCAACATCCTATGTATGAAGTGCCAATTTACCGGTATGGCAGAAATCTCAACATGAAGCATCCGGCTATGAGAACATAGCCATGTGATAAGGCCAAGCCCCTAAACTAGATGCTCTTAAGGACAGAGGCCTTTATTATTTCTGTGTCACTCATTATGCCTATCAAAGTGCTTTTCGGATAGTAGATGCTCAGTATACTTTTGTTTCCTTGAAGTATACTGATGGCACAACTTCTATTTCAGTTTGAGATACAGACAAAAATGTAGAGTATTTCCTCATTTGTTATGATTAGTATATTTAAGAACAGTGACAATAACCAAAATAATATTGATACAACAATATTCATAGTGATTTAGAATTTTTCAAGGGCTTTCAAATTGTTTATCACTATAATTCCTATGCCTCTGAGAAGTAGGGCAGACTTATATGAGGTAAAATAAGGCTTTTCAATTTCAGAGTTTTCTTGGGGTATTCCAATGCCTTTGTGATTACTTTGTTGTTTCACTGCTTCCTTACTTTAGGAGGCTCCACGGTTATGACAATGTGTTACCATCTTAAATGTTTGCTGTGTCTTCCCTATGACCCAACAGTGTCTTCCAGCCTCCCTTCATACCTTAGCATCTCTAGCCACAGAAAAACCAACCAACAGATTTGGTCTTCTCCATAGTTCCAGTTCTGGATACTGCATTTTGGCAGAAAAGAAATCATCACCATTTACTGATTATTTGAGAGCCAGCTGCTTGAAGTCTGGCTGATAGAGGTAAATTTGAGGAAGCCTTCAGAAAATTTTAAAAAGCTATCCATTCCTAGTTAATTAACAGATTATCTAGACTTTCTTGGATAGCATTTACACTAATAAAGAGAGAGGAAGGAAGAATTGGGAAGGGGTGTTTCCTTTGCTCTCTCTCATTGTTTTAAATTTCACTTCCCAATTTGTTGTCACACATAGTCAAGGGCCACCTGAGTGGCTAACATTACAGTAAGCTACACAACTGATATTCAGGACAAGAATAATTCTTGACACAGAGGTTACATCTTGGTAGCTCATAGGCCCAATTAGGTCCCTAAACACTTTATTTAGCCCACATCACGTTTTAAACTTAATTTTTCCAAACATTTAACAATTCTAAGCTTCACTCAGAAATCTGTTCTTGAGATCTTTTAAAAAAAATAAAAATGACTTGGCCATATCAGGTCTCCATGCTTGTAAGAGCTGAGGCTTAGTCCAGAAGGAGCCAAAGGGTCTCGCTTAGATGCCTCCTGGACTCTCCTTTCACCATAGTTCTTACCACTCCTGATAGTATTGCTATATTTACACACAAGCCACTTCATCTGTCTGATCTAGTTAGGCCCAGAACATATTTTAATGTGCAATATCTGTGGTGACTTAAAATTTTAACTAAAGTGTATTGTCCCTTTCGGCACATTCATCCATCCCAGCATCCCCTTATTTATTCACCTTCTCTGGACACCCTCCCTTGTGCTAGGCACAGAGAATGCAGAGAAGGCGATGATAGGATTTGTTCCCTTCTGGGGCTTACAGCATATAGGAGCACAGACAAGTAAAATAGTAATTGCAAAATACCACGTGGTATGCACCATAACAAAGGTACACACAAGCTCAGGGTGGGCAGTGGCAAATTCTCTGAGGAATGAGGTGGGAATCAGGGACATTGGCAAAGAAGAGGTGATTAAGGGTGATTCTTGTGCGGTAATCTGGAGCCTCTTTGGTGGCCAAGTAAGGAGAGAGATGCAGAAATAGAGAGATATACGAAGGTAGACCATGGCCTGTTTTTGGAATATAATATTCTAGAGTCTCTTGGGCTTGAACATCCTGAAACCATGTCTCATTGGGTTAGGAGAACCTATGTTCTGCTAAGGCTCTTCAGTCTCTATGTCCTTCAAGAATAAGTATACTTATATAGTTAGTCTTCTATCTATAGAAGAGTTAGTCTTCCTCATGTTTTTGGCCTAACAGCTATTTTCTGTTTTCTATCTTTAAGGCCTAGTCTTCTCATTCAGGATCTGTAGGGTACAAAAGACAGGTAAGTGAGGAATATGAGCCTCTGATGAGCTCCTGGACTAGTGCTCTCAATGACAAATGGCCAAGGACAGAATTTTCCAGAATTTTCTTCTCTTCTTTACTGTGAGTGCATGGTTGTTTTTGGATGGACATCTGTTATATGAGCATCTATAGCATCTACTTATTGCCATCCTAAGTTGTTAAGAACAAAAGGAATCAATCTATATGCCTGATAATGGTAAATGCTCAGTAAATGTTTATAGAATGAATGATTACATGAGACCTTGCCAAATCACATAAAAATGGTTCTGAACTATATCATTTTTGCTGTGCCAATAATTATCAGCATTCCACAACTAATTTCAAGAAGATAATACCATGGTAAAAAATTAGCTACTTAATTTTAACATTAGTCAGGCATAATTGGCTAATGGTAAGTCTAGTAAATAATAGAGAGTGCTCATCAACTCAAGTTAGAGCTACTAATGATGCTAAATCAGTATTCACAATATTGCAATTTTGTTCCTCCACAGATTTAGTATGAGGCAAACCCTTCTGATTACTATTAAGATTGGTTAATTTATTATGTAAAGTTTGGGCACTGCTATTTAGTATTCCACAGGAAAAATATAAATCAGCACACTTTCAATGTTTCTTTCTTTTTTTTTTTTTTTGTGAGGAGATCAGCCCTGCGCTAACATCTGCCAAACCTCCTCTTTTTTGCCGAGGAAGACTGGCCCTGGGCTAACATCTGTGCCCATCTTCCTTCACTTTATACGGGACGGCGCCACAGCATGGCTTGCCAAGCAGTGAGTCGGTGCGCACCCGGGGTCCGAACCGGCGAACTCCGGGCCGCCGCAGCCGAGCGTGCGCACCTAACCGCTTGCGCCACCGGGCCGCCCCCTCAATGTTTCATTTTGATTTTTAAATTCCTAAAAGTCTAACTTATGGTCTTTTCCATCCTGGGGGCAGGGGCAGGGGGTGGAGAATAGGAGGAGCCCAAAGAAGAGTACCATAAAAACAGTGGTCATTTAGTAAACATTGATTAAGTATTTGTTGATAACTTTAATGTTGATTTTACTATTGTGACATGAATAGTAAACTTAAGGACTAGTGGAATAATGACATAATGAAAATAATCAGCAGAAGTTAAAAATTGTAGATAAAAATGAAATTATTTTAAAATTTTCAAATATTTTTCAAGTATTAGTTATTTATTTGCCCTATTTATTGAATATCTACTCATGTGTGGGATTTTGGATATTTACAAATGTAGAGATAAAGCTTGTTGTCTGCAGAATATTCATTCACTCACTAATACCCTACTTCCAATTTGCTATCATCATTCATATATACCTCTTCTTCTGAAACACATGGAAACCATATGTACATTCTCCTTTCACTTAAAAATTTTGCCTTTGCTGATGAAACAAATGCATACTATCTCATTGTATTTGAAGTCTGTCCTCTTCTTGTTAATTTCCAAGATTCAACAATATTTTAATCCAGCCTGGCCGCCAAACATCTAACTTAGAAACTGGGTTTAAAAGTGGTTCAGCTACGAACTGCTCAAAAAGAGCACAGAAATTTCCCTTTGAAAAATGGCATTTTATATACAAAACCACTGCAGCAACAACATCACTTCATGAGAAGCACAGGCAGAATATGACTGCATTCAATTTGCATGCAGGTGGTGAACCTCTTAAGTGGTATTAAGGGATGAGCCAGGGTGGATTAATTTCCAGTCTTTGATATTCATTAACTCCAGCCTCAGAAAAAAATACAAGGAGATGACACAATTACCCTCCGAGCTTCACCTATCAGCAGTAGCTTTACAATCTCAAGTTCATAATGCCATCCTAATTGATCGAAAAGGGGCATATACCTTTAGTAAAATGTGAAAAAGTATATGGCTTAACTATTGCAATGATGGTATTTGACTTTGGGACAGTCAACCCCACTCTGGAAACACTTAGCAAAATAGTCATCATTGTTTATTCTCTAAGCCACCTGTCAATAGCTAGCCTTCTATGGTTTTCAATAATTCTCTGCCAAGCAAAACCTAATTTTGGCCTAAAGGTAATGGTGGTCAAGGTATACTGTCCATTTCATTTGAAGAAACTAGCATTTAGTTTCATCACTATACTTCTATTTATAGATCAAAAAACCTTTGAAAAAGAGATCCTTAGGAAACACTTCAGTAAATAGGAAAATGTTCCCATTGGAAGGAAGAACAGAAGTCATCAAGCCATCTCAAATCCGTTCTGGAACAAGGTGGCAAAAGGAAGAGACAGAAAGAGATCATGAGGAAGGGGAATGTATTTGCAGTATCTAAGAAGTAGCAATGACCAGCTTGATGTTTATTTACCTCTGGAGCTTCAAAGATTTCAGGGTCATGGTGTAAGTCTGGAGGAAAGATGGCTATCGAATCTCCCTTTCGCAGACAGTAGTCCCCAGTCTCTGAATGCAGAGTCAAATCCTCTTCAACAAAACGTATGATGACCGAAAATGAGCATAGTCGTAAAACCTCGAGAATGGTGCTTTCTGAAGGAAACAAGCAAGCAACAGCTTATTAAAATATGACTCCTCCTGAAAGTGTTCTCAATTTGCCATAAAGCTCATTACCAATAGCTTTGATTAAAAAGGAAACCCTTTCCTAATCAGATCCATTGAACACCAAGAGGGAGCCAATGGTGGCTTTGGATGGCCAGACTGAGGAGGAGGTGGGTGAGACAGCTGTGGCCCGGCCCCAAGACAGCTTTGGGGCATCTCACAGACAGGCGGCAACAGTATTGCAATTGGGCAGAAAGTCATTAATTAGGATTTTTGTAGGAAAGAACGGTTTGCAAGGCAGGAAAGCTGTGCTATGGGTATATACATTGGACATTAAAACCGTACGCCAGTTAAAGTACACCGCTGGTGGGTTATTTCACCAACATTCAGAACAGCAAACTCTTTAAAGCCAGGCTTAGGCATTTAATAACTACTCAGGCAGTTAATAGTAATGTAATTGTAGTAGTGCTTTCTGAGCTTAACACTTAATTTCTTTTATGCTAGCTGTAAATAAAATGTGAGTCAGCATTTGCTGGAAAAATTTCAAGGGGAAAATACTTTTATAGGATTCAGAAGAAAATCACATTTTCGTCAGCATCCAGGGAAAGTAACAGCCACCATCATATCCTGGAAGATTCCAGAAGCTGAATGTCCTTGCTTTCCCAGTGGCCTTCACCTTTTGCTCCTAGCACGACAGATTTTATGGCTAATTTCCGGCAATTTATCCTGGCAGTTTGAGGAGGAATTCCTTTGGGAATAATATGCATAATTTGCATAAATCATTCTGATAGCATGCATATCAGTATGTAGCTCCTGTCTAGGTCTGCATCTCTGCCTTCATAATCAAAACTGACTATGTTTTCACCAGCGTGAATGGGTCCTAGAATATAAAGCTTGCTTCTTTCTAATCAACAATGTGAAAAAGATCTCCAAATTGAGTGTTTTTCCCCCTTCACATGGTAACAAATGGTTGTTTATGGCTTGCAATTTAGAATTGCACACAAATACATACACACAGCCCAGTTTCTTAGTGTTTAGAAGCTCTAAAACAGAGTACCCAATTATTAGATTATAGAGGCAGGCTGGTCAGTGAGGGCTCGCATCAGCCAAAAAATAAAAATAAATGTAATTTCACTAAAATTTAAATCTATGCACAGCTTGCATAGGGATATCAAGTAGCTTTAGGTGCTTTCTCCCAGGAGGTTTTTCCCCAAGCATGCATTTGTCTAAAGAAATGAGGCTGCGGTCAACTCTGTGTGGCCAGTGTGGTGATTCAATGTGACGTACAGTGAGGCTGTGCATATTCTTTTGGACTGCCTTCGTTATTATAATCAGGCAGAGTCAAATCGGTTTGTTGGTGATGAGGCCAGAAAAGAACTTTGGTTTTGGAACAGGGACTCTACTGCAGATAGCCACAAGGCACCTGACACGACGGATTTCAGCTGGCAGGACACCAGCGACCAACATTTCTATGGTGAAAAGCAAGGGTCGGCTTTCCATGTCCCGCTGCTGGCTCTGTTGGATCAACAACAGCACAGCATCCTTTTAGCTTGTGGTGTGAAATGGTAGCTGACATATGTAGCAGTGCTGTTCACCCAACAAGTCCAGTAGGGGTGTGGGAAGAAGCAATACAAAAAGCAAAATAATTGTGGGGTGGCTGCTGTGACAGGGCAGGCATTTAACAGTCCGAATAACATGGTCACATCCGATTGGCTGATGTGCCCACGGGAAGTATGGCAGCTTGCGCCCACTGCAGTATCACAAATGGCAATTGGGCAAGCATATCTTATGCAGAAGTGAATCACAATAATGGGGAACAAAGTGTGGCTTAGCGGTCAGATCGTAAATGACAAATCTATTTTACCTTCCAGTACCAGTTATGTGTGCAAGACGAGGTTGGCTCTCGCTCTGAGCGATCATGCCGATAATCATTAGACGACAAAAGTAATGAGTTGCATTATTATCAACAATGGAGAGCGGAGCTTCCGTGGCTCTGCGTTACAACAGACAGACACAGAAGCCAGCAGCTTTTCCTCCAGCCCCAGTAAGAATGCAGGCGGGGCTATATGTTGAGAAGAATGACAACTGCACAACAAAAAAATTGCAGCCTCTACTTGTAGTTGTCATAGTTGAGCAGACACCAGCCAGTGTCACTGACAGACCAGCTGGGCCCTGGGAGGACTTCCATGCTGCACCAGGAGGTACAGTAAATTATCCTGCAAGCTAGAGCAACATCTGTTTCTGTGCTAGTGCCGAACAAACAAGGCAATTTAAAACATACCAAGGGATAACCAAGCAACAAATGAACATGACCCTCATTTTTTTCCCCTTTCTCACACACGAGGTGCTAAACTTCATTGTGCAAGCACTCCATGAAAGAGAGGCCAGGTTGGTATTTGATAAGGTGTTGTCAGAGAGATTTTACATATTTGCCAAACGGAAAGAAAAAGCTTATAGTATTGTTATTCTTAGAATCTTCCTTCCCCCCTTCTATCTTCCTTTCTTTTATACCAAAGCTAGCACTCAGTTCTCAATTCGCTCTAGAATTTTAAAAAAAAAAAAAACTTTCCATATACTTATAAATATTCAGTCTTTAAACCTAATTTGCTATACTTAGTTCACATGCCTTCAAGCATTTGTCTTCCAATTTCCACTGAATAAATGCGTACTAATGAGGAACTAGAGCAAGCTGCTGAGGCAAAGCTGGGTGACTTGGGTCTGGCCTGCCACCAGCTTGTGATAGGCGGGCAAATTGAGTTAAAATGAAAAGTCTTGTCAGCTGAAATTCAACATGGTAGCCAAACAGCAAGCTGTCAATCATTCCAGCCAAAACAAGGGACTGCAGGTAATAAAAGGTCATTGTGATCATTAGTGCCCTTGGCTTTCATATGCAAGTTAATTTTAATTAAACATGATCTCTATCTGTAAATGTTTTATAAAACTTATTGTGCATAATGGATTGTTAATTTATACTAACATTTAGCAGGTAATAGGACCCACTACGGATTAAACGCATTGTAGAAAAATGGCTATCAAGAAGGCAAATATTTGGGGGATAATTTACACCAGACACCGCAAGGTGCCAACAACTGCAAATGTGATTAAGATAAGGCTGCCTATGTTTTATTAAGAACTGAGCTTGGCTGACCAGTATACACTAGGAAACTGAGTTACAGAATTCCCACAAGGAACTTACAATTCAGAGCTTGCGCTTCCTTCTTCACCTGGCTAGGGAAGGTTTGTTTCTCTTTTTAGGAGATAAAAATACTCTAAGTATCCTTTTAAAGCAAAAAGCTTGAGAATGTGTTGAGCCAAGATGTCTTACAATGTAACCATGAAGAAAAATGGCAAATGAAAGGAAATGCTGGTAGAAAAAGACACACACACTTTCTCTTTTGCCCTCAGATCTCAATTCTGGCTGTAATAATTGACAGATGATTCTCATTTGCAGATTTAAAGCGCTGAGGCAGTTTATGACAATCAATAACGCACGTTACAATGCAAACACAAATGAGCACATCCAAGTTTCTACCTCACACTTAGGCCATGTCTGTATCTGTGGGATGAATATACTGTGACATGGCCAGGCTGTTAATTTGGGTCATCTTAATGATTGGTGCAGACTGTCATACCATCTGATTAGTCATGGTGATCAGTGGATAGCAGAGATGGCTGGAGTGAAATGAACAGCCGGGCCCTGCCGCAGTGTGCTGGGGCTGAACACTGGGGTGGTGTTAAAAAGAAGGTGGATGAGAAAGGGGGACAGGGTGATCTGGAGGTAGAGGGCTCTAGAAGGTATGAGGAAATGGCATGATGCTCCAGATATGTGTGTGTGTTTTCACATAACTGCCTTCAAGACAAGTGAGAAGGTAAATGAGAAACTGTAATAATCATATAATTTGAAGCAAAATAACTAATTTTTGGCTCAACAACTGTATATTTTAAGTAAAGTTAAAAATAAACCTGAATTGGTGCAAATGCCTACTTTTACTCTGCATTGCAGACATGGCCTTTGGTTTACTGATAACATATAGAAATGCAAATTCAACATTTATATATTCAATAAACGTTTATTAAGGTCTTACTCTGCTCAGGGCACTGGGCCAAGGCTGCTGGTGGAAACAGAGAACACAGCATACGGATTTGGCCTTCATGGACAGTGCAATCTAGGTAGTTCAAAGTTGGAAGGTACATATAAACAGGAATGCTCCCCAAGATCCTAGTGAAGATATTGTACAGTTTCTGATTGGAGAACTACCATGATGGCATTCAGAAAGTCCATTTTAGTAAAAAGTTATTTTTCATACTGAGCTGAAACTTTTCTCCCTTTAATTTCTACCCTTTAGAAAACACAAAGGCAAAAAGAATTCTAATTCCTCCTCCCTGTAACAGCCCATTAAAAATATTTAAAGACAACTACCATGTCATTTTAAAAATGTATGTCCTAGATGATATGGCCTTCGGTCTTTTGACATCCTGGATGAATTCAATTAGTCAATGTGCCTTTTAAAGTGAGCAGAACTGGGTGGGCTATTTCAGTTGGAAAAGTAGAGAGGAACTACTTTCTCAGTCCTGGATACCATACTTCTATTAATGTTTTGTTGGAAACAGATGAGCAACAGATTTTTGAAATAATATCAACATTGACTTGGTTTAAGCTTTCTGATATCCCAGAGGTTATCAGCACTGGCTGTCCATTAGAATCATCTAAGATGGTTTAAAAATAAATGCTCCATCCCAGACCAATGGAATCAGAACCATGGCATTAACTAAAATCTTTCAATTAGTAGTTTTGAACCTTGGTTGCACCTTAGAATCACCCTGGGAGCGTTTAAAGCCATCAGCTTGCACCCCAGACCAATGAAATCAGAACCTCTGGGGGTGGGACCAGAGGTGTGAGTATTTTTAAAGCTCCCCAGATGATTCCCATGAGCAATCAAGGTTGAGGACCTACTCTGCTAAGCAACACATTTCCTCATCTTATTCTCACA